GGGGGGGGGGGGGGGGGGGGGGGGGGGGTGGGGGGGGGGGGGGGGGGGGGGGGGGGGGGGGGGGGGGTGGGGGGGGGGGGGGGGGGGGGGGGGTGGGGGGGGGGGGGGGGGGGGGGGGGGGGGGGGGGGGGGGGGGGGGGGGGGGGGGGGGGGGGGGGGGGGGGGGTGGGGGGGGGGGGGGGGGGGGGGGGGGGGGGGGGGGGGGGGGGGGGGGGGGGGGGGGGGGGGGGGGGGGGGGGGGGGGGGGGGGGGGGGGGGGGGGGGGGGGGGGTGGGGGGGGGGGGGGGGGGGGGGGGGGGGGGGGGGGGGGGGGGGGGGGGGGGGGGGGGGGGGGGGGGGGGGGGGGGGGGGGGGGGGTGGGGGGGTGGGGGGGGGGGGGGGGGGGGGTGGGGGGGGGGGGGGGGGGGGGGGGGGGGGGGGGGGGGGTGGGGGGGGGGGGGGGGGAGGGGGGGGGGGGGGGGGGGGGGGGGGGGGGCGGGGGGGGGGGGGGGGGGGGGGGGGGGGGGGGGGGGGGGGGGGGGTGGGGGGGGGGGGGGGGGGGGGGGGGGGGGGGGGGGGGGGGGGGGGGGGGGGGGGGGGGGGGGGGGGGGGGGGGGGGGGGGGGGGGGGGGGGGGGGGGGGGGGGGGGGGGGGGGTGGGGGGGGGGGGGGGGGGGGGGGGGGGGGGGGGGGGGGGGGGGGGGGGGGGGGGGGGGGGGGGGGGGGGGGGGGGGGGGGGGGGGGGGGGGGGGGGGGGGGGGGGGGGGGGGGGGGGGGGGGGGGGGGGGGGGGGGGGGTGGGGGGGGGGGGGGGGGGGGGGGGGGGGGGGGGGGGGGGGGGGGGGGGGGGGGGGGGGGTGGGGGGGGGGGGGGGGGGGGGGGGGGGGGGGGGGGGGGGGGGGGGGGGGGGGGGGGGGGGGGGGGGGGGGGTGGGGGGGGGGGGGGGGGGGGGGGGGGGGGGGGGGGGGGGGGGGGGGGGGGGGGGGGGGGGGGGGGGGGGGGGGGGGGGGGGGGGGTGGGGGGTGGGGGGGGGGTGGGGGGGGGGGGGGGGGGTGGGGGGGTGGGGGGGGGGGGGGGGGGGGGGGGGGGGGTGGGGGGGGGGGGGGGGGGGGGGGGGGGGGGGGGGGGGGGGGGGGGGTGGGGGGGGGGGGGGGGGGGGGGGGGGGGGGGGGGGGGGGGTGGGGGGGGGGGGGGGGGGGGGGGGGGGGGGGGGGGGGGGGGGGGGGGGGGGGGGGGGGGGGGGGGGGGGGGGGGGGGGGGTGGGGGGGGGGGGGGGGGGGGGGGGGGGGGGGGGGGGGGGGGGGGGGGGGGGGGGGGGGGGGGTCCGGGGGGGGGGAGGGGGGGGTTGTTGTTTGGGCAATGGGATCATTGATTGTGTTGAAATTTGTTTTCTTCGCAAAAATAACGGCAAAATTATGAAACATACGCAACATTGAAAAAGTTGAAAAAAAAAAAATAGCGACTGCTGCACGTATCTCACAGATATTTCATTCAACACAAAGGTGGAAAATTTATTCTGTTCAAAGCATACCCTGCAGTCTGAGTCACAACGGAAGAAATGACAGCAGGTCTTCTGTAAAACTGAGGGATGTGTTTATGGCTTACTCACTTCCCGCCAACAAGTACAGAGGAAGAAGCGTCGTTGCCATAGTAACCAGGGCTGTAGGTAGTCTTACAGATTTAAGTCTTTATCGCTCAACATTCGTAGCGCCATCTGTTATTAAAAATCGACATGAGAAAGGGGTATTAAACGCTCTTAAGAGACCAGTCATTTTCCCATCAATGCAAGTTGCTTGTTAATCTTGTTCACCAATATTTTTGCCTTTTCACCATCCTTCAACCTGCCATTGTTTACTACTCAGGTGGTTGTGACAGAGGAATCCAGAAACTTTGTTTTCACCTCTGACCTATTCCTTCTTTCTTCTTGGACCAATATTTCTCAGTAGCTTTTCTTTTTGGCATCATCCAAAACATGGGCCTTTTCTCTTCGTTTTTATTCCTGGAATCCTTTGTTCTTCTCTACGGGCCTTGTTACACAGATGCCTGCTGAATCAACTGAACTTTCTAATGGCCCTACTCAGTTTATACTACATGATTCTTGTAATATCGATCTTTTAAGCAGCATATCTGCTTTTAAGCCCACTCAACATATCTTCTTAGCTGAACCACATTCGCTCTTACAGATTCACCACTCTTTTTCTCTTAAATGAAAAAAAAAAAAAAAAAAGATTCTCTCGATTAGAAAAGGACCTTTAAATTTATTACAGAACTTCAGCGAAAATGTTGTTTAGCCCACTGGTTGGGGTGATTTAAAAAATTGCCACGTTTGGCACATTTTGTGCACTTTCTCTTTTACGTATAACTTTCCAAGAGACAGTGCACTAAGGAAGCACGTAAGAAATATAAAGAATAATTCAAATAGGCTTATATAGGTTATAATAAATTTGAATAATAATATATTAGAATAGCTTTTTCAAATAAGCTATTCGAGTTTGTTCAAATAAATTCAAATAAGCTCTGATCTCTGATGTCACCAGCCTTCTACCTTCTATAATTAGTCAAACCATCAGTGATATAACGCACATGCTGAATGTCTCAAGTGACATCATCATCAAAAAGTTCTCCCTGGCCCCATTTCAAGAAAGATTTCCAGCCTTGGTGGGGTTATTGGCACTTGGCATAATAAGTGGGCTAAACAGCATTCCACCCCCTTCCCTACCATAATAAAATGTTTGTTCCACACGGGAGGCCATACCTGAATTGAAGATCTACTGATTGATGGCACTATGGATGAAGAGAAGGTATTTCATATTTGAAAACTGAGTAGAAAAAAAAAACGTTCCTGTTAATATGTGGTGTTGAACTTCACATTTTTCTGCACTATCTTTATTTTTAATTTGCTGTTATATGAAAAACCAGCAACAATCATAAATTCTTTGAGAAGCTTTATTTAGATTCTTTGAATCATGCTTTAAGATTTTTTTTCCTCCTCTTTAATGATATTAAATGGATCTCCTTTTTATTTCAGTCATTTAAATACATCCAAGATTCATCTATTGTGATAACATTTTTCCACTTTTGTGCGGATAAATGTTTCTCATAGTCTCATAATGCAGCGCATTCTGCATTTGGTGATATGTAGTGAAAAAAGATGATGGATATTATGTTTTTACACCTTTCCAAGATTCAAATCAGAATTAATCATTTTGTTTACAGTTGACACTCAGCATTAATGATTTTGGAACTCTCCTTTGACTTGGCAGATTTTCTTTTAACATTAAAGTTCTTAGTTTTACAACATTCAAAACATTCCGTTTTTTCCTTTGCTATGTATTTGGAACTATTTTTCTACTTGAAGCCAAACTTTGACTTTTTTTTCCTTTCTTGTTAACTGTACTACCTATCATAGCTTTAGATATAAAAAAATCATGGTGTTCACAGTATTCCTTAATAACTAGATATGGATAATTTTCTTCAGAAAGAGCACAAATGCAGCTTTCCATACATTGCTTCTTTAAAAGCGCCATTTTGCAAGAAAGCAAAACTGTCAAGCAGCACATGATAATTCAAACTTTCAAATATATTGCTGATGTTAGAAAAAAATTCCAAGCAGACCCTTTTTTTTCTTATATAGCAAAGCAAAATCATCTAAAAAAAAGTGCAAACAGCCTCTGTAGAGATTTACTTTTCCATATTATTTTCTCATTTATTGGTAACAGGTAAATCAAATATTTTGTTATATTGTTTAGTTTCATGTAAACGATAGCAAATCGCCAGCATTAGCATAGGGACTACTTAAAGGGTTTATAACTTTTTTTTTTTTTTTGTTTGTTTTTTGTTTTTTTTGCCATGGATTATTCCCTCTTTCAGTTAGGTGACTCAACACATATGTTAATACTTGGGTGCTGTGAAATTAATATGAAAAACGTCTCACCATCTATTCCAACTTTATTTTTTCTTCCAGATGCAGTTCTTTCAAGTTCAAGGCTGCCGAGACTCTCTCCATCAACAAGTTCATATCCAACTGAATGGTGTCTTCTTGAATGTTAATCTATGGGCCACCTGATTTTAAGTGATAAAACCTCAAAATTATACTTGTCCGTAAATTTTTCACTACAGAAAAAAAAAAAAAAAAAAAAAAAAAAAAAAAAATGCTTTTTGCTGCTCGTTTTAACTTGCACATTCAATTCACTCTCCCTACTTATTCACAGTGTTTTCCCTTCATGTTAGAACCTTGTTCCGGCAACATCAAACAATCTATACATTCTAAAAATTTTCTTTGACACTTTTCTACCAAAAAAATACTTTGCGTCACTGTATCCAATAAAGCGTCTGATGGAATTCCATTCTAAATAACTTGAATACCTGGAAGAAAGTTTTTAATTAGTACTGTATTTAATTGGATGTGACAGGCTTTTTCTTTCATCTCGGCTAATGACCCACTGCCCCCACCTAGTTTACAGGTTTCAACTTATCACCTACTTTCTTTTTATTTTATTTTTGTGATTTATTTATCTTGGTGATGGTCATTAGTGGCCGAAACATTTTGCCAACTATCAAAATGTCTCCTGCATAAAATTGGTCAGATCTTTCGGTTAGAGACTTTATAAAATTTCTAACTTTTCATCGTGTACCCACCTATGCATATTTAACAATGCAGGCCAACTTTCAAGATTTACTGCTAACTTGAAAAGCAGTTCTAACGTACCAAGGTTTCTTAGCTCCAAGAAATCTTAACCTGCAGCAACAACCTAAGTAATATTACCTATTGCCTGAATAACTTTTGCCCCAGACTTTTACCCATACAACAAATTCACTATCTGTACTTTTCTTATAATAAAATCAGTGAACTGATCCAATGTTAGTGTGTTTCCATGTCTAGCTTGGCAATATTTTTTACTATGAAGAGTTTCAAAAGTGCAGTTTTAAATATATTCTACTATAAAAAAAATGTATATACTCTGAAAAAAATTGAGCCACAACTACGAAACTCGTCAGTAGTACAGTGTTTGAGTAGATAAACTAATGTTAAAAAAATAGTTTTATTTAAGCATAGTAATACAAAGAATTTGAAAATCCACGGCAATACAAAGAATGTGAAAATCAGTAGGTGGTAAAGCACCCATGGCAGCTATACAAGCACATATTCAGCTGGGTTTGGCATATGTTAAGTTGCCAATGCCCTTTTGTGATAGATTGTGCCATAATCGGAGCAACTGGTCAGTGAGTTGGGACATATTTGTACACAGCTGAACATTCCCATCCAACATGTCCCAAACACCTTTGATGGCTTGAAGCCTGGCGGACCAGTCGAGCACATTAACAGATTGAAAACATTATTGGGAAAGTCGTGCTGTATATGGTTGAGCATTGTCCTGCTGAAAAATGGACCTGGATGACCTGCTAGCAGCACAGAGTACAATCAGCTGCAAGATATCATTGTACCTGCGAGCAGTCAGAGTACCTTGGAGCACAACTAATGTTGAATGGCTGTCCCAGCTGATTACTATCCAGACTGTCACATACTGCGTTCTGTCTATCATATGTCAGTAACAAATGGCACATTGGACTTCTCACCTCTGCTTCTCCAGACACATATGCAGCAGTCATCAGATTTGACAGAAAAGTGTGATTCATCGCTCAAGATAACATTTCTCCAACTGGACACAGTGCAGCTTGAACAAGAGCAGCACCATGCTAGGTGACACTGCTCACGGTGGAGTGTCAATAGCAAGCTTCTTAATAGACATCAAGATCTGAACCCAAAATCCTTTAGTCTTCTGAAAATTGTATCCCTGGATAACCCGGGATCCCTGAGAGTTGGTAAATGGCACTGAATCAATGATAGTGTATCTTTTGTTGGTGCAGATGTGGCAGCTCTTCTAATTGTGCGATCGTTTCATGCATTGGTTACCGGGAGCTTACCGAGTGACTACGCATCGCTGACTGGAAGCGTGACTATTGCTTTGCTGAGCCTTTGGTTCAAACAGCAACGATATTGCTTCGACTGATATGCTGGCCTATTCACCTGTTTGACCAACTGGCCTCTTTCAGCCCTATGATGTGTCTTAAGCTATGAATACCATGCAGAAAACAGAGTGTAAAAACATGCATTTCGCTGATCATTTTGAAGAAAATATTACCATTTACTTTTGCAATGTTGAGCACTGTAATGAATTAATATTTTCTGTTAATTCTCAAATGATGTTCAGTGCCTTCTGAAGACTTAATGAATTTCAACTGCAATATCTGAATACGCTGATTCACTTTTCGATAGGATTATAAACTCCAGGATGCAATTATTAATAACCAAAGCTGTCTTATTTTTATAGAAAGAAAGCATTACATTGGTAATATTTTTATTATAGTCTTATTTATGTATTCCGAGCTAATCAGCATCAATTATTATAAAATTTCTACCACAGAGAAAAAAAGTAGAATAGGTAAATTGAAAAGTATCGCATTCATATTAATCAACTTTCTTGTGTGATAATCTCTTTAAGATGACCACCTCTGAAAATGACAGTCCTTCAGAAGACATACATAAAACACTGATATTGAATATCATTTCTTTTAAAACAAGTCTCTAGGAAAAAACAAGCCATTTGGAAATGTTAATGATCATCTTAGAAAGGCTTTACTTTGTTCTGTGAATTTCTTGAATTTAAATGACAAATCGGGGATTTAAAAAAAGCTATTTTCACCGTCCTCATGATAAAATGAAAAAAGCATTAATATCTGTCATGTCTGATATCACAATAATTAAAGAAATGACAAAACTTGCATATATAATGAAATGCACTCATTCTTTAAAATTCAGAGGAAATGGTGACAGGTGAATAAACACCATGTCTGTAAGTTTTATGACATGTGAATGCATTGCAAATTTAAATGCAATTTGAAGTCTTGATTTTTGCATTTGCACTCTTTACTAGTATATGTAAGAGGTTTTACTATTTTCACCTGAAAAGGAAACTGAAAATTCAATTTTCTTCAAAATGAAAAGTGTTGCCAACCCACGCGTTATAATACCTATAATAAAAAGCATTATTAGCTGATTGATTATCAACTAAAATGACTTATGCACTTACTGTCAACTTATGTACCACAATGCATATAAATGAAGTGCTGCAAAACAAGCATTAGTTTCGAGTTTCTACATGCATTAAAGTAATTTTTAACATCCATCAGCAGCCGAGCAATAATATCGCTGAAAGCGGTAGGTCAACCTAAAATCAAATTCCGGCGAACGGGCTGTTTGCATTGGAGTTTTCATTGTTTCCCCCATGTATAATGTGGAATCAGACAGTGTTCCTTAGAAACTTCTCCATGAAAGGATCTCTTCCCTTAAGCAGATCGTTTTTGTATGTTTTGCAAAACTAAAATAATCTAGTCCAAAACAATGCTTAAAATTTACAGAAAGAAACTGTTTCTTTTTAAAAATTTTAGGGTTTTATTGATACGAATATTAAAGAAGTATTCTAAAAATACACTGAAACCTCGGTTCTCAAATTTACATCGCTTAGCTGTTTCTTATTATGCCACAAAAAATGCCACCGCTCATTTCAAAGAATAAATTCTGAATAGCCTTTCCAAAACAGACTTTTATTATCATGACATATTTCAGTAACACAAAAATGAATGATATGATAAATATTTTTAAGGAATGAAGTTTGCATAAATTTAGAGGACTATCTGCCTAAGGGGGTGAATGCCTTTAAAAGAAACTGGCTCATATTTCACACATAGTTAAAAACACACATAGTGTAAATGGAATGACAAAACAAATTATTCTGGATTCAAAATTATGACGCTAATCAAGCAGATTAGATTATAGATTCAGGTAAACCACACGAGAGCTCTCTGTTAGAGAAAGTGTATAGTTGTGTACGATTCTAAGGAACACGGGTTCGCATATGTTAACATACTGCAAACCATAAATCACATGCAAGCAGGCCGTTTGCCATTAGCAAAACTTAAGTCGAGTTTTCATTATTCAACTGTCTTACCCATATGACCACATTTTCAAAAATAACTTCACATACTTAACTTTGTCAAAAGATTAAAAGTTACATTTACATTAGACTGAAATAAGTTATAAAAATAGTTGAGGATAATGACTGAAATAAGATACTTGAACTACGTTCATCAATCAGAATATTCTGAATAATGCAGTTTAAATTTTAAATTATAAATGAAGAACTAAGAGAAAATTAGAAGAGCTTACTGTAAGTATACTAAGAACACTAATATCAATACCGCCAATCAGTTACAAAAAGATTTTACAAAAAAATTGGACCTATTCAAAAGAAAAATGGGTACTATTCGGTTTTGACGGCCGTAAAAAAATTGCCAAACTATTGTTGATGCCAGTGCTGCCAAAAGTAATTGCGGCAACCCTAACGCAAGAAAGGAAGTATAATAGTAAATAACTATCTAAATATTGATGTTTTAATTTAGATGAAAGGTTTATTTCATATAATATTTCGCTACTGAGTTATCGCTAAAGCATAATGTCATCTCGTTGGTTATTCAAACATAATTTTCTATAATGAATGATGCCTTTTCTTTGAAAACATTTTCGGTAAAGTGCAGAATCACCCACTTATTTCTTTGCCACTTTTTACAAGGGTAAAAACAATTGGATTTTTGTCATCAATTTGGTCTTTGATACTTTTTAAGTGACAATAGGTCGATGTGTACGTAGATAAAGTCAAGGGTGTGCGCAGTGCCATTTTTGTGCAATTCTAGGATTTTTTTTTTTTTAAGTGTGAAAATAAGTCGATGTGTACATGGATACTGAGTATGTGCAATTCTTAAAAACGCATCAAGCAGTGGGTGATTCTGCCCTTTACCCAAAATTCTATTCCAGACTTTTCATCATAGGCAATTCCCAAATTGTTAAATCCATAGGATATCAAAAAAGGAATTAAAAATTAAACTAGTATTTCAATGGCGTCTTAAGAAATATAGAACTATATAAACTTACACAATCTGAAATCAGCGCGTACGTGAGATTTGGCATGCTGTTAAATGGGCGTGTTTGCTAGATTTGGCGCTTTCGTGCATACATTTTCGTTGAAATTTTTTTACGGCCCTTGAAACCGAATAGTACCGAAAAATGTAATACTACTGCCAGATGGTATACATCCATGCAGATTTGGAGAAATGTTGAGAAATTTATGGATGCGACAAAAATATATTAATATTTACTTTTAAACTCACTTTACATCCATAAATTTTATATCATAGCAATTTAAGGCCGTTAAAAAAATAAAGTGAAATACATATTTTACTTCAAGTATGAAACAGTGAAAAGTCGCTATCATTTTTGGTCCCTACAAAGTTAATCATTGAAATTAAGACAATACTATTCAAAACTTATTTATCTATGCATATACCTTTCAATTACTTTGCTATTAATTATATTTCACAAATTAACAATAAAAGAATTCACAAAGCAGACAAAATATCCATAAAGTAAATTATGACTATCAGTTTAAATTCTAATAGCAAAACTAACATGATTGCAGCATGAATTTCTTAAAATTTTAAGGGATTCTTAGTGATTTCACGACATGCAAATAAATTAATGAATTTTAAGTCCCAGCTAATTATTTACTGATTTCTATTAAAATTTTTAGATTATTTCCCATATTTAAACTAATATCTCCTGACAACTCAAACGGCCATTTCTAAATTCAAACCACATTTGCATGATAGCAGATGCCTAATGAAAAAACTCTATGCATAGCGTATAACATATCAAAACACTATCCGCTTAAATCGAGATCTTGATATGTTGCAACAGTGCTGGTAACACTAGCAAAAATTGGAAGGAACCTTTCCAATAGCTCGTTTTCATCCCACACTTTCTCGTCAGAATGAGATATCAGTTTTGCACATAATGCAAAGTATGTAGAAAGCTACTATTTTAACCTGGTGTCCGAGTTACTTCACGCAGAGCGTGTTCCGCTTTTCAACCACCAATTACACCACAAAGACAGGTGGAAAGGAGGGAGAAAATACCTTATATACTCCCCCTTTTAAAGGGCGACTGGCCGATTAGAAGACCCAGTCGCCAAATCATGGTGGTGATGAATTATTGTCCACCATCTTTTTAGTTCAGGTGTCACTTGTAGAGTCGTTAGTTTTTTTTTTTTTTTTTTTAAGCAAGATACATGAAAAATGTGCAATGCTTTCCCTGGGACTTGAACCCTAAACCTCCTGAATACATTTCGAGTATGCTTCCAATTACACACCAAAGGCAGAGAAACTATGCTGTATACTCCCCCTTTCAAAGTAGGAGTAGATATTAGAGGACCCAATTGCAAAATCCTGGGGTGATGAATTATCGTCCCCCACCTTTTTATCCCCACCTAGCACCCCTTGTAGAGCCATTACTTTTTTTTTCAAGCAGAACATGTGAAAAATGTGCAATGCCCTCAGTAGGACTCAAACCCTGGACCACTCAAATACGGTTCAAGTATGCTTCCAATTACACCACCATGTAGGCATGTGGAAAGGAAGGAGAAAGTACCTTATAATGCATGAAATTTAAAATACTCAAACAGAAGGGTCAACATACAGTAAGAACTATTAGAAAAGCAAAACCTTAGATAGGGGAAATTTGTTATGACAAACCTATCACAAAACACTGAAGTTAATTCCCAATATCTGAAAACTATTTTAAACGATTTTCAATTATTCTTAGTCTCAGCATTTTCCATTAAAAGGCTGATCCAACATATAATGAGAATATACAATAAATATAAGAATAATTTGAATTCACCTATTTTTATGACTGAGTCATTTAAGTACCTCAAATTATACATCAATTCAGCAATCAAGGTGTTAAAAAGCATGGTTTAAGACAAATTTTTTTACCACTGATGGAATCTGGAGGATATTCCCAACATTCCTCAAAAAAATATTAATCAATAAATTTCATATTCTCAAAAGCTCAAAGTCATTTCATACAATAATATTTACTGAGATATTTATCAATACTATTTATTAAAAATACTATTCAAATACACTCCTGCTCAAAAAATAGGCAACAAAGGCAAAACACAGACTAAGACAAAAACTAATGGATATACATGAAACTGATCCAAGAGGCTGGTGTGGTATTATTACTAGACCATAAAGCAAAGATATAAAAAAAAACATGCATTAGGACCGTCACATCGCAAAAGACCTTACAGGTCTTTATGGATGAAACAAAAATGGAAATTATAATATGCTTAACAGTAATAACGATTTAAAACTAAACATGATGTTAGAATATTTCTAAGACCTTGAAAATATATGAGAAATTAACACTCACATTTAGATACAGTCAAAAGTCGTTAATTCGGACACCCATAATATGGAATGATCTATAATCCGGACCTCAAAGCTACAAACTTTCTGCGCATACGCGTAAGACCTTTACGGCTGCAAATATGCGTGTGCGCATGTGCAATATACATTTACAAATGTGTGTTTAATGTATAACGGACAGTATAAGCTAAGCTAAAATTACCTAATTCAGTTAATGTTGCAGATTGCGTTGTTCCTTAACGTTCGAATTGGATCCGGCTTATTATTTTTTGCAGACTGTTAGAGCAATTTCATAAAAGTAAGCTTGAACTTTCGATTATGTCAAATAGAATTTCTGATATATATTTACTAATATGTAAAGGATCTACAAAGCGAAAGTATGTTTCGAAGTCCATTAAACAAAAAGTGGAATTGCTGCAAAAAATGGATAAAGGCATAATCCTTTGTTTATCTAACCATTCCGAAATCTGTTTATCAATTTCACGCTGCTCTGCGTGTGTGTGTGTGGGGGGGGAACGTCACGGCGTGCAATGAATTGGAAGTTGATCTGTCAGCACTATCCTTATCTTCAGGGCAGATGTTTTTATTTTATTTGGCTTATAATTCCTTACTAAATGTAGTATTTCATCTCGATGTACTCCGTCTTTGATATGATTTAAATCAAATTCCTCGTCATTATAATTCGCTTCCGATAGCGAAGAAAGTGACAGAGGTTATTGAAAACGAAAAAATTTCGATTGACAAATTAGTCGGTATTCTCGACACAGCAATTATAGGACTTGAACAGAACTTTGTAACTGAACAAGAAATTATGTCTGTTTATAGAATTAAAGAGAAAGTATTATCACATAAAAAATGAAGCAACTTAAAACAACTTACATTGAAAGAAATGTTTAATAAAGTAAACAAATAAATATTAAGCTTTTTTTTTTTGTAATTTTGATACCCTTTAGATCATAATTGTTCTTTATTTCATAAATTACGGTTTCATATTTTTAATTTTATAATTTCTGCATGCCATCTTACCAGATATAAACTGATGACCTATAATCCGGAAAAATTAATAATCCGGAATCGCCCGACAAGTCCGGATTAATGACTTTTGATTGTATAATGGTATTCAATTGTAAAGTTGCAAAAGGAAATTTCTGAGTAAAACTAAATCAAATCATATAGATGGTCAATTACGATCAGAGAACAAAAGAAGTATATTAAAAATTATAAAGAAATCTCTGAATATGTAGTAAATTCAAAAATTTCAAATTGTTAAAAAAATTATGTTACTGTCTAAAATGGCATACAGTGTTAGAATTATGAATTGTAAGACTGTGACAAATAAAAACAGAGCAATAAGTAAGTTAAACTAGAACTATAAAATATAAACTAAGGGGGAAAATTATTAACATAAGAAAAGTAATTAACAGTTATAGACTTAAACTGCTAAATACAAAAAAATAATAATAATTCGACAGTATAAGGAAGATATTGTTAAACATCTGAAAGAAATCAGCAATTCTGTATAAAATAAAGCAAAATAAACAAGATTATGAGACATAAATGTTCCTTTATAAATAAAATATATAACAAATAAGTTAAAGTGTGTACAGAAAACTAAAAAGGTAAAAAAATAGATAAAAATGTTTAAAATTAAATGATATAATAACTAGTACTTATAATATCATTGGGGAAATATAAGAAATAATTTAAAAGTTAGAACATGTTGAAAACTATAATGTTATGAATTTTTTAAAAAGTCAAAATTAAATAATGTAACAAATACACAACATGTAAGGGAACAGTTACATTCTTAAAATATAACATGCAAGTTAAAATTCAGAGTATGTTGAAAATTATGAAAGGTATGAAAAAAATTCTGTGAAAAAATTAAATAAAATATTACAAATTAGAAATATTAAGTATTAAAAAAGATATCAAATAAATGTGTTATTATGAACAGAAAATATAAGTTCATGGAAAACTAGAAATTAGGAGGATGAAAACATCAAAATAAAATTAAGTAGAATAATAAATAAAAAATTATCATATAGTTTCATTTTCATGACATGATGACTTGCCACTAGAGCAAAGCCCCTGTTACATTTTTTTTTCCTCTCACATATTTCTTCCACACACACAAAATCAATGCTTTAAATGACAAGACTGAAAAAAGTACAGTTCGCCTTTTTTGTCAACAGAGGGCAGTATGAGCATATAGGGCAGTATTACAATTAATTGCTTCGGTTTTTGTCCTTGCACATGCAAATTTTTTGTCGTACAATGTTTTGATCATTTGCGACATACAATCAATTGATCTGAAACTTTAATTGTGGTTTATGGTGTGAAAAGCAAATAGCCCTTCAGCTAATGCTAACTGTTCCTCCGTTAACAATGCATATTCCTTGACAAGACGTAACGAAAATGATAAAACACCACCGAGCAAATCTAACTCGTTACATTGCCTAATTTAGTGTACTCTGCATCCATTTTGTTTTTTTATTTATGTATTTTTATTTCTTTATATTTGCTATAATAATTAATAAATAATATGCAATATATTTCTATAGTACATTTAAAATAAGAAATGCAGATGTTTTCTAAAAAGCGGGGCATTTTTAAAAATTGGTCCTCCACAAAGCGGGACTTGTGGTCACTTTACACTAAATGATGTTCCTACTTGCGTAACTAGTAAACCTTCCTTATACAGTACAGGTAAAGCCCAATTATTTCCTATGAACTTGGAAGCATTTCTGAAGTTCATTACATGTTTGACTGCTGTCCTCCTCTATGGTTGCTTTTATGGCCTAGTCATGTAACTCCTTGGGTCGCAAACTGTGTGGTTATTAACAAAGGCTTATACAGTCAAAAGTCTTTAATCCGGACTCGTCGGGACTTCGGCGATTCCGGATTATCGATTTTTCCGGATTATAGATCATCAGTTTAAATCTGGTAAGATGGCGTGCAGAAATTATAAAATTAAAAATATGAAACCGTAATTTAATAAAGACCAATTATGATCTAAAGGGTATCAAAATTTACAAAAAAAAGCTTAATATTTATTTGTTTACTTTATTAAACATTTCCTTCAACGCGTGCATGCATAAAGCATACATTACGCATAGTCGAAATTAGAAAATTGCAACCAGAAAACTATTTGATTTGTATTCGTGATATTTATAATGACGAGGAATTTAATTTAAATCATATCAAAGACGAAGTACATCGAGATGAAACACTACATTATAAGCCAAATAAAATAAAAACATCTGCCCTGAAGATAAGGATAGTGCTGACAGATCAACTTCTAGTTCATTGCGGGCCGCAACGTTTCCCTACCGCGCAGAGCAGTGTGAAATTGATAAACAGATTTCGGAATGGTTAGAGAAACAAAGAAGCCTTTATCCACTTTTTGTTTGATGGACATCGAAACATGCTTTCCCTTTGTAGATCCAGCATCGGAAATTCTATTTGACATAATCGAAAGATCCAACTTACTTTTATAAAATTGCTCTAACAGTCTACAAAAAATAATAAGCCGGTTCCAATTCAAAGATTAAGGAACAATGCAATCTGCAACATTAACTGAAATAGATAATTTTAGCTTAGCTTATACCGTGCGTTATACTTTAAACGCGCATGCGTAAAGGTATTACGCGCGCAGAAATTTTATAGCTTTGAGGTCCGGATTATGGGTATCTGGATTAATGACTTTTGACTGTATCTCCTAACCTCAACTTCCAGAACTTCCCTACCTAGCAATGCATTTTATCATGGCATCCTCCCCAAATGCCCAACTTATTTGATGATTAGAGGCGGCTGGTGACAGGTCCACCTTAAAAGAAACCACAAAAAGCCATGCTTTTATGTCTCCCCCATTTATTTTGCCCACAACTTGCCACTAGACAAGCATGACTAATGTGTGTGCAATGTGTCTGTATTAGTGAAGGTCATTTCAGCACATGAGTCGTATCATTTCTTCTCTATATGCATGTGATTAAAAGAGACAAAAAATGGCAGAACATTTTTGGTTTCCTTGTATATACATACATACAAAATACGTAATTCCCAGTATATTTTTACTTTAGTTTCATACCAGAAATATCAGGAGTGTTAACAATACAATGACCATACCTTGCATGAATAAATACTACATACACATATAAAAAAAAAGGCCTGATTGCCACCTAGGCCCAAAAAGTACGTGTCCAAGGCCAAAAATTTAGAGCACCCCAGAATCATTCTATAGTTTCCCCAAATTCTCTTTTTTCTTCATGAAACAGAAAAGAGACAGCATTGGGAATCCCTAAAAGAATGTTATGTTAAGGGCCAAGATTGCTTTGACGAGACCCTGTATATATGTAGATATATCACACAATCCACAAGAAGCACAGCGAAATGATGGAAATTCAAAAAGCCCGCTTAAATACTATAAACTGTAACCTTAAACCCTAACGATTTTCATAATGCAAAGAAGTTAACAGATTTGGCGTGATTTCGCTTCATTCGGCAACTGGCCTGTAATCTCCAGTCTAGCCAAAAACTATTCACAAATCCTTTCAATTTTTAATTTTTAACATAAGCAGTGCTTGATATAAAGACCTGTTTTTATGTTTGACATAAAAACAAGTCTTTATGTCAAATATTGCTTATACCTACCTATGAAGTTCATACTAAAGAAACACGCAAGCAGCAAGCTTAAATAACAAACAAATGTACAAAAAAATCATTTAAAATTATTATACATAAAATAAAGGCCCTATAATATTTACAATTTGATGTAACAAATACATAAGCTGCTTTAAAATTCAGTGGAATCTAATACTTCTCGTTTAAAAGTTAGAATGAAATAGTTAAATTTTTCAGTAGCTATCAGTATCAGAGACAAAAACATTGTAAATACATTTAACATAGTAAAAGCATTAAAATTTTCTTCAACTTACGAGGAGAAGAGCAACTGCAGAAAACATTACAATTTTCAGAAGCCATTTATTGAAAGCATGAAAGATCTTTAATTCTGAAACAGAAAATTTTTCATGTACATTTCCAGTTGTTTTACTGAAAATATATAGATAAAAGACAGTGAACAGAAACCGTTCCTTAAACATTATCCTTGCAAAACTGTTATGCTAAGATCCAAACAATAGTTTAATAATAATTTAATTCTAAAAAAATTTCTTTAAAAGATGCAAAAGATTCCTCATAAAGCAGGAAAAAAAAAAAAAAAAGAATTAAGCATAATTTTATTCCATACCCAACTGGGTCATTATATGAAGTATAAAATTAATTTTTTTCAGTGTGCACATTATGATCATAATCATTAGGATTGTTATTTAATCTAGATATATTTATCCTTGACAGGTTTTGTTGATGATTCACCATTTTATCTGACTGTCAAAGCCAGGTGTTGCCGAATCAAAAAATCGCCAAAAGGATTAATACTAAAGCTGTTCCTTAAAATTTTTCACATTATTCAGACACAATTCCTATATATTTGAAAAAACAATATATAAATTAATATTTATCTTTCATAAAAATACTTATCAACAGGCACTAATAATAACTGACTTTATATTTCAAAATTTCCAGGCTACCAAGCAATTCAATACATTTTCAGTCTATTTAACAATCATAATTTAGATCAGGATTTTTTACATAATAGCAAAGCACTTCAGGAACATAAAGAAAGGGAGGGATAACCTTTCAATGCAAAATGGCTTATATTCAAGTTACACATGAAGAAAACATGAAAACTTCCAAATGGGCATTTGAACTGGAAACAAACTATCATTATTAAGCAGTTTTATTACTCGGCCACTGGTGGACAACATACTTTAGACCAGGGGTTCTCAACCAGTGGTGTGTAAGAGAAAAATAGGTGGTACGCAAAGAAGCAAAGTATTTTTAACTACTACATTAAAAAATTAAAACCTCAACATACTGATTGAGTTTTTTTCTTTCACACTCGTAATTTTATGCCTGAGCCTTGTTCAAGAGTGTGGTGGTAGTAGTACTTTGTAGTGGTGGTACTAAAGGTTTTCAGTTTTTGTTTCGATGGTACGCATTAGTCAAAAGGTTGAGAACTGCTGTTTAGACTCTTTTTCTATAATAAGTTCCCAGAAAATATTCACAAATATGCTGATAAAACATGCAATAAGCTTCTTTCACTAGAACTTTAGAAAGGTTATAATATACTATTCTATTATACATTCTAAATAAATGTCTTCTCAAAAGTAGTTCAACAAACAGCTTTGATCCTGAAATTAAAAATGGCATAATTCTTAATTTAAATTCTGCTCCTTTAAGTCAAATGGCAGTTTGTCTTGAATTCTATTCTTAGCAGTTGAATGTACTGGCATCTTCGGATTTTTCATGGTTTCAAACTAGGAAAATAATTATGCATAAAAGCAAACTTAGTTTGGCATAACTTTCAAGCAAAACTCTATAGATTTCATGGGCAATCAGACACATGTCCCTCTTCTTTAGGAAACTTTCTGTTTCTGCAGATAAAGAAGAGGTACCTGGGTCTGATCATCCTCGAAATGGACAAAGCTTCATTTAATACATACAAGAAACTAAGGTTGTTTCTTTGCTTAATATGAAATTTTCTGATTTTCTATACAGAGTACTCTATGAAGGCTTTACTTCTTTCAGACAGATATCCTACTGTTTGCTTAACGGAAGAGATGCTTTCATAGAGGCCTTTTTACTTGTTACATTTAAATAACCCAGATCCAATTTGAATTTAAATCATTAATTTACTTAGAATGTTATTTATTCATATGCAGGCCCACTATACACTGATAAAAAATCAAAGACGATCAATTAGAAACAGGAAAATCTCCACTAATATTCAACAACAAATAACATATTCGAAGTATAAAACTATTGCTGCATACAAAACAACAGGCACAAAATGATGAACGCCATAAATATACAAAATGTAAAGGTACTGAAAACTGTCTGACCAAAAACGCTACAAAATTTTAATCAGTTAATAAAAAAAGTAACAACTTTAAATTAACAAGAAAATTCACATTCATCACCTTTCTTATTCTAACGGCACGTAGATAAATGCTTTAAGAAATCACATTAATTTTATGGAATAAATTTTGAAATTACACTCTCGGCATTGATGAAACGACAAATGAACACTCTTCCAAGATGCACAAAATGTTCATAAATTACGAAAAGGACAGGCACCAGAAAAGAATTACAAAGAATCATTAAAGTGGAGATAAAAGCAATATCATAATAGAAACATTTCTGGAAGTAAACATGCACTTAACAATGAAAGCATTTCTAAACTACATTATTTTCGTCTGCTCAATATTTCTAAAATAGTGCATGTTTAGAGTCATTTAAACATCGAACACATTCAGAGTCACATAGGCGTGTTCATATTACTCCACGTCCAATCAATACACTTACAGATCTTCTTCTTCATCTTGAAGCTGTGCTTCCCTTTGGCGCCTTAGGCAAAGAATATGTTTTGTTCTATACATATCGCTTTGGGGTAGAATATGTACATAGACATTCTTTGCCTTAGGCTGCTATCACACGTCGGTTTGTTTCGAAAGAACAACTGTTTAGAAAAATTTTTCTTCTTTGTCACAACAGCCAATCACCACAAATCGCTTTGGGGTTAACACAGGAAAACTGGTTCTCCATTACAAACCAGCTAACAGCATTCGCCGCTGATAGCTGATTCGTTGAAAACGAAAAACTTGCAACTTTTTGCGAAAGGAAGGAAAAAGTCGCACGTCTTTCTTTCAGTAGTAAACCAGGCAGAAAAATTGTCCGAAACAGTTGTTTCTTGTGAAACAAACGCCGTGTGATATGGGCCTTATGCTCCAACTCAAATATAATGTTAATTACATGTTAAACCACAAGGACGCATTCCCTCCAATTCAGGGGGGAACGTCTGTCCGAAAACCAAACCCTTACACTAAAAGTGCTTAAGAATTCTTTAGGATGTATTTGATTACAAATTTGCCTAGGAAATAATATCTCCAAGGTTTCTTATTATAATGATTTAAAAGATCAGCTAAGAGGTCAATATTGCTGATTTTCATCTTCTTGACCTAATGTTTCTGACGCTATCGTACTTACTGCAGTGAATGTCGGCATGTTCTATACTGTCAATCATATAACATGAGTCACAAAATGGAGAATTCGCTCTACGATACCTATACAACAGTTGATTCGTGTCCAACATTTGCAATCTAATTTTACTGATTACTACTTCCATTTTCCTATCGATGTTTAATCCTTTACAGCACTCACAGTGAACATTACAGTAGCTGAATCTGCGGCCGGTGTAAGAAGTCCGCCAGCTGTCGACTTGCTCTTCCTTAATAGTATTCTCGATGAACCTACACGCATCCTCTGCTGAAAGATCCCCCGAGTTATTCATATTTCTTCTTTTCGCAACTTTATCCGCTCTTTCATTGAACCCTATACCCTTATGGCCAGGAACCCAGATGACTGTGAGGTGATGGAAAGACTTAATCCGCTCGAAGAGCTTAAGAATGAGAGAGTTGGATCTCCTATGAACACAGCTCAAGCGCGCTGACTACAGATTTGCTATCTGTAAGGATAGCAATCTTATCGTTAGGATTCAGTTCCTCAAGGAGCTTACAAAGGGCCCAAGTCTCAGCTGAAAAGATGGAGCTTCTATTGTCTATGCACTGACTGACAATCACCGCGGTACGATCTACAGCCGCAATGCCAACTCGTGTATCAGACTTGGAAGCGTCTGTAGCGTAGATTTTAAAACCTTGATTCACGTAATCATTAATAATGGAACGGAAAAATTACTGTATCTCCACATCTGAAAGATTTTTGTTCTGGAACTCATACTCATTAGTTTTGAAACAACACTTAACTTCTTCAGAAAAATCTAGTTCATTGTTAAAGTAATACACTTACTGAAATCTAGATCGAGATTGCTTAGCTTATCTTTAACACACTGGCTAATGGGCTTACGTATTTTGCTCCACATGTATCTTTGCAAACAATTTTTCAGACTTTCCGCAATAGGAGAGGCTGCTGACAGAGCGATATTCTTTATTAGGAACTTCCTTGCGGTGATGCATCTTCTCGTATCTAAGGCTAAAACCCCTGCTTCAACATATAACAACGGGAGAGGGGTGCTGATGAGCGCCCCTATAGCCAGTCTTAAGGCGTGATTATAAACAATTTCAAGCTTTTTCTTATTTTGTTGAGAGGTAGACATGAGGAGACAGCTGCCATATTCTATTCTTCCTCTTATTGTAGCATTTGCAATATTAACGAGATCCACTTTTCTGGCACCCCACCTGGGGCTCGCGATAAATTTAAAAGCATTCAGCATTCTTTCCAGTTTCGGTACTATTTTATTAACATGGACGTTCCAGCTCAATTTACTATCAAACCACATGCCCAGAATTTTAATGTGATCTTCCGTAGGGATGCTAACACCCTCAAGCTTCAAAAGATTCTCTTCACTACTCCTTGTCCCGCCGAAAATAATTGATTTACTTTTCTCTGGGGAAATGCATAAGTTCCACACTTTAGCCCATCTATGCACTTCAAACAGCGCACGCTGCAAATTATTGACTACCCTGGGGAACGAGACATCTGCACTGTAGAAGAATATGTCGTCCGCATACACGTAGCAGTCGACATCATCCGGGATAATTTCACAGATATCGTGCATGAAGATTGTGAAGAAAATAGGAGACAAAATGCAGCCCTGGGACACTGCAGATAAGTTCATAGCTCCTTGAAAGGACCCGTCTCAAACTTTACTCTGATAGTTCTCTGGTTTAAGAAATTGGCAATCCACAGGATACTATTCCCTTTAACACCGAATTGTATTATTTTATAGAGCAGGCCATCATGCCAAACTGAATCAAATGCAGCTTTGAGATCAAGGGTCAAGGGCCACCAGCTGAACAACTTTCCTTTGCTTTCTGTGATGCAGGATACTACTGAACAATTTGTTAAGCAAGACCAGGCAACTTCTATTGGAATAAAGCCGTAATGCATTTAGAGTCTTTTACTTTGCTGGATCCTCGGAAGTAATCTATTGAGAATCATCCTTTCCATGACTTTGGCAAGAATTTGCGTTAAAGAAATAGGTCTGTAGCTAGAAACCAGCGCACTGTCGCCCCCAGGTTTCAAAAAAAGAATAACATAGCTTCTTTCCAATTTCAGGGATAAGACCCGAGATTCCATGAATTGTTGCAGGCCTCGAGGAGCGCATGCTTGCAATCATCAGCTAAAACTGTAATAGCATATCTTGTAAGGTCATCTTGTCCCGGAGCAGAGTTTTTGAGGCTCCTGATAGCTTTATCGAGCTCAAGAACCTGAGAAGGGGTTATTAATACAGCTACTCTCTTCGTCACTGAAATCCAGGGGAATGAACTTTTGAATAGTGAATCTTGAATAAGTACTTAGCAAAATACTACACTTTGCTCTTCAGGTGACCAAGGCGTGGCCATTCTGTACTTTAAGATATTGTTAGAGAACTGGACCTGACTTTTTTATTTTGAATATTTTTAACTATCCTAAATAAATTGCCATCCTTTCTGGTATGACTACAAATTTTTTCCCAATACAGCCTTCTCTTGATTTTAATAATCCTCTTAAGGTAAGCATTCCATTTCTTGTAAGAGATCCAGTAACCTCTTAAAAGATGAGCTTTAGCGAGTCTAAGACATTTCTTTTTCTGGCCAAGAATGAAGTTACATTCTGTGTCCCCCCGCAGGCTGTTTTTGCGTTAAATCGCAACTCTTTTTGAGGTACTCCTTTTTCGTGGCGCTCAAGATGCGGTTGAAATTTTCCAGGTTCGTTTCTTCTGGGTATAAAAGCTTGATTCTGTTACTGCTTTCTGTAGCGAATTTCTTCCAGTGACAGTGAACGATAAATCTCTGGTTGCCAGAAGCAGAGGCGTAGTTATCATTTCTGAACAACCCATTAACGGTTTGACCCGTATTTTCTCGTTCTTTTATGCAGGTCCCTTAACGGTTCGTTATGAATTATTGTTAGTATAAATGTACCCTCGAAAACAGATCTTCCCGTGTTTTTGTAATAGCGGAAAAATGCGCCAAAAACATCTAGCCCGTATTTTTGTACGTCTTCCAACCCCCATTGTCTAAGGGGACAAGGGTCCGCGCACCCCTGACGACAATGGGTAATGGCTGTCATTAGCGCGGGGAGAAGTCTTCTTGATGTTTTGAGATAAAGGCCTTACACTGACTCTAAGGAAACAAATTTATTACCAGTTACAAAGTGAATATATATATAAAAGGAATTAAGAATTTCCGTTTTAGAACAAGTATTGAATAAAATAAACAAGTTTCTATAAAATAAATTTTTATTTATGACTCATAAAATTATTAATGAATTAAAATGAGAAAAATAATGTATTATATAATTTATTGGGAACACGTGATTAAATAATTCTCTTTAAAAATTTCTACAAATTTATATCACGAATAATAAAAAACGTGCAGCTCTCTTCATAAATTTATAAATCTTATACTTTTGACAATGCGATTCGATTATTTGATTTCGTTATTTAAGAATCTATTATTCTTGTTATAAACCTGTACAGGAATTTTTCAAAGGGCTCTTATTCCCATTAATCTGTACGACAAATTATTTTTCTCCTTTTGGTTGTCTTTTACTTCCAAAATTCCTCTTACCTCATAAAAGTATAAAGTTCTAAAAATTCGCCCAAAATCAGAAATGATATTAATTTTATGCAAATTTTATTTCAAAAGCTATTTTACGCTTTGTAAAGTGATGCAAACTTAAAATGTGTGAGATTTTAAGTTTATTCTTTAAATGGAAATATGGGCAAAAAAAGTTTTCAACATTAAATTTTAAGACCTCTAAATCGAATTTTACAGAACTCTGTTTACCTTGCCGTATTTCGGTCCGTAAACGGTGTGAGTACAAAATTTGAACTCGGTAGCTTATCGAGAAAAAGTCTAAATATCGATGACGAGCTTCTGATTATAGCGACAAAACACCGTGATTGAAATGCATACAATTTTTTAAACAAACTTGCTGATTCTTAAATATTATATTTTTAAACATTTTGGAAAGTTCAGTAAAGACTGATATCAAATAACCGTCATTTTTATAACATTCTTGGTATTATAAAGCATGTATGTGACATTCATACGCGATTTCCGACAGCCATGTTCATTTATCAAAGTGGCTGCTTTTGCGACAAACAGAATTATATATTGTGATGCTCAGTCTATATCCTCCACTATCTATGATACTCTTTAATTATGTTCCATATCTATACAGAAATATTGGTAAGACTGAGAGAGGTTAACAAAATTTTCGCAAATATTTAATTATTTGAGCTACATAATTATACTTATACTAGCTCAGGAAATTTTGAGTCATTTTT